TCATGGTTGCTGCATTAAACGAATGTATACAAAGCCATTTAAATAGTGGTGAATAAATCACAAGCCATTATGAAGCAGTCTGTTCAATCCCGCTTACTGTGAATTCTTGCGTGTTTTTTTTTTTTCCTCCTCAGCTTTAAGAACTGAATTTATTTTGTAATTGTGGTATTACTTTGAAACAGTGTTGCTGCTCAACCGGTATTTGTATTTATCTTTTTTTGATTTATGAGAAGGGGAAGCTTTCTCAGCAGCTGCACGCCACCAGCGACATGCCAACTTCATGATTTGTGTTTTATAAAATAAATATAAAGATTGTTTAAAAAAAAAAGAAGAAAGAAGTATGCATAGCTTTGTGGACTGGTCTTTATAGAATGACGGTTTAGACAGAAGGTTTCGTACAGGAATTATTTCAACATTTTGATTTTTTTTTTTCCTCTATATAGTCCGTCAGGTTAACTGTTTGTTTTTTGTGTGCAAGTTCAGCAAAATGGTGGTGTTAGTGTACGCTTAATACAGAGATGTGGCCAGGAAACACCATGAAAATGTTCATATATTTCCAAATAAACTATTTTCACTTAACCTGACTGTTTTACCGTGTGCTAAGCAGAAAATTCCAGACTGCCGTGAACTTCACACTGATGAAGGATTTTAGCCAACTGCAGTTCATTAGCCGATTAAAGCTGCAGTATGTAACTTGTTTTTGTTGAAAATGAATCATCACTTTTAAGCTAAAAGAGGAAAAATGTGTTTTTTTTCTGTTAAGCCTCTCCATAAAACACTGATTTATTAAAAGTCTAACAAGACACGAAGTCATGAAGAATTGAAAACACAACTTTAGGCACTTCTTTCCTTATATTATTGAAATTTCTTTTACGTCTGATTCTCAACCACCAGATTGAGCTGCATGATGGAGGCCCAGGTGTTAGAAAACTATTCTGCAAACCCAACAACTATCACATAAACATGCAGGGCGAGATAACAGTCAATACATCAGGCCATGTGACGGTTTCTGTACTTAAAATTTAATTTGAGGCATCAGACTCAAACTGAACAGCTGCATGGCAGATAAATCTTTATACAGAACAAAAAGTGAAATGTTAGTGTGTGTGTGTGTGTGTGAGTGTGTGTGAGTGAGAGAGAGAGAGACAGAGAGAGACAGAGAGAGAGAGAGAGAGAGAGAGAGAGAGAGAGAGAGAGAGAGAGAGCTGGAATGCAAAAAAGCCATTTCACTAGTAGTAACATTAAATTAATGGAAAAAAACAAAACTTTAATCCTTCACTACAAAAGCAATTGGTGTGATGAATATATAATATATATTAGAGCAGGATTTGAACTACAAAATGGATTTCATTCACACAGTGTCTGGAAATGTCTAGGAAAAAAAATAATAAAATACAAACTGGTGAGAAAATGGGTTGGTGTTTAAAACCAACACAACAGTGTGGTACTTCAAGCATGTAATATGTAAACACAACCTGTGAAATGCTATTGCTTCTGGACAGAGGGACCAGGGGACACAAACACCTCAATCTCATGCTACGCTCGCTATTAGCAGACACAAGTGCTGGAACGCTATAAACCTGATTTATCAGCACGTCCGGCGCGCAACATGGCACGGCACGGCACGGCACGGCACGGCACGGCACGAGGGACTCCGGCGCTGGTGTCACGGAGACGCGGCACGGTTTCACTTCAACTATCAAACTTTTAAAAACACACGAGCTGAAAAGAACAAAATGAAGCACAAACTCTTTGTACACGTCTCTCTGCACACGTCTCTTCTTTCTGCAGGATAAGATTTGTACGCGTGTGAGTGTTAAGTGACGTATCTGGGAAAACGTTTTTTTTTTTTTAGGAATTATTTATGAAAGGTGATCGCTGGATAAATCACTAAGACGTACATGTCTTCAGGATGTACGCATGCTCGTCACACAACACACACACGGCTCGTTTTTAGACGGTGTTTAACCTTTATTATAAGTGCTTGTCTGAGTGGGCGTGGCCAGGCAAGCTGCTCGTGATTATTACTAAGTCACATGAACGTAATGTTCTAGGAACTTCTGTTCCCACAGGATCTTTACCAGTACGTCCATTCGGATGGGATATACTGTATATTATCTGGAGTTACGGGAGGTTAAATATGGCACGTTCTTTCCAGGTGCATGTATTGGTAAAGACAGGATGGAGTCGGATTTACGAAAATCCTGCTGTGATAAAGCTGCAATCCGTAGTACTCGGAAATATGCAAGTGGATTTTTTTTTGCAGGATTTAATCTAAACGTGTTCCAGTGCTCCCGCTCTGTCGCATTTACATGTCTAGTCTCGGATTATGATAAAGATCTAAATGATTTCTGCGTGATTAGCGATTAGAAACGACGTATAAGACAGGTCAAGTGTCTTGTTATTGTCTGCGCATGAGAATCAACAGATTTAAACTCAACAAACACCTTTTCACAAAGACAAAAGCTACAAATGGAGTGTTTTTTTGACCGAACAGTAAATGGCCGTGACTGTGTGCATATTGTTTTGACCTCAGGGGTGTCGGAAAACTCGAGTTCCTGACCTGGAATTCCGTGATGAGGGTTGAATGACCTTGCACATTTTCCCTGTCCGAGGTGTTTTTTTTTTTTTTTTCTCCCCCGTGTTTTGAATACAACAGATTGCAGCACAGCTAACCCACTACCCCATGTGAAATGAGTCCAATCCAATGACAGAGTGGCTGCGAGGGAAAGTGTTGCAGTGAGGAAACGAATGTACGGAAATGTGCTTCTGTATTTAAAAAAAAAAAAAGTCAACCGTGAAACCGTGACGCCGTAACCACCCTAGACTGCATAGATATAAATACAGACGTGCATGCTGGGAAAAAATGAAAACCAATCAATGCCTCCAAAAAACAAAAATGCCGCACGGTTTGAAAAGAATGTCGGGACTATTTACAAAACGATCCCTCGTAATGTCGGAAGACGTGCTGGTAAAGCAGGTTTCTTGTGCACTAGTGGAATACCCTGTTTCGTATGGTTTAAAATGGTCTGTCTGGAGCACAATAAGATGTATTACATTCAGAAAACAGCAGATGTATTGTTCAGATTGTATCTAAATGTTTCACGCTGTAGTCTATGATGCCACGTCTTCCGTTATCATGTGACACGGCACTATCACAATCACAGTAAGCTGAGACTTAAATTCGGGTTAAATATCGCTGATATGTCCGACTGGTGAAAGAAATTTGGCATCAAAGAAAGATACGGATTCACAGATGTCTGGCTGGATGACTTGGCCTGTATTCAGCGTGTGTGCGTTAAGGTTTCTGCGGAGTGAGCGCGTGACCTGAGTGGAGGGAAGGAGAAGAGAAGAGAAGAGAAGGGAAGGAGGAGGGAAGGAGGAGGGGAAAGAAAAGGGGGGGGGGGGGACGCCGATGTCAGAAGCCTGATGGAGTGAGAATGTTCATGTCGCGATGTTTGAGTTTATGTGCAGACGCCTTTTTTCCCTCCACTCCAGTCACCTCCAGGTTGGGAGACTTGAAGCTGGCGGGGTCTTCAACCGCGAGGTTCACTTGGGTCTTGATGCCATCCAGAGTCGTGGACTTCTGAAGCCCGAAGTATGACTGCAGACTGAAACCTCCTGTGAGCAAACACGCAGTGAAGAGACGATCAGAGGGAGGAGAGGGGAAAAAACCCACCAACAACATATTTATTATATACCGTCTATTTATACTCTCCACCTGGCTGCTATGTTTACATTCAATCTTTTGCACTACTGTCGTAAGAGTACACTTTTACACTTGCACTGTAACTCACCGTGCCCTCTGTCTTGTTTGGATAGTTTTTGTACTGTTGTCTGTTGTCTGTCGTCTGCCGTCTGCACTGTGCGCTTTATGTAAATATATGTAATGTCTACTGTAGTTCTGAGTTTGGTTTTATGCAGCACCCTGGTCCTGGAGCACCGTTGTTTCGTTTCACTGTGTACTAACTAGCTGTATACGGTTGAAATAAAATACGATAAAGCCACTTGACTCGACTTGACATAACACGACTACCGTCCGTCTGTCCATGTTTCAGACGTTTGACCTTGCTGTGACCTTGACCCTGTCTGGATCAATTCCAAAATCTAATCAGTTCATGTGCTGGTTACAATGATAACTCCATGCAAATCCTAAAAATATTCAACCGCTCGTTCTTTGAGATATCGCTCTAACGAGACTCTCGCTCAGACGGACAACCCGAAAACCTACTACGTGAAAAAGAAAAAAGAAAAGACACGTCTAATCAGGCTATAACTCAATCTAGTTCAAGTCCACATATCTCTACTCGGATTTAAAGCTGAAGTGGGCGTGGCCTAAGCAAAGGTGTTTCATTTCACCACTACAACACCGTTAACATCGAACTCTGCACAGGAGCAGATCAGATAAAATAAAGGTAAACGGAGAGAACAGACTCATTAGCTGGCGGTTTCTCACCCGAGGTGCTGGAATCGGAGCCGGGGTCGGTGGGGGATTTCTGCACGGTGGGACGCGCCCCGAAGAGGCTCCAGCGGTCCGGTCCACGTCCTCCACCTTCGTTCCCACCCATGGAGACGCCTGATGTGATCGCTGCTGGAGTCGGCGGTGGTGAAGATCTGGCTAAAGGAGACCCTGTTTAACAAAATAAAACACAGCCATGGACCATCTTCATCACCCACGTAAGTACAACCACGTTTTAAACCTCAAGGATTTCAAGGAGCTATAACTTTATCCCAGATTTCATAACTATTTTTAGACTTGGAAGTAAATATCCGGGCTGAAACGGATACCTGAGACGGAGCTGGGTCGGATATGGACGATGAGACAGAGGTGTGTGGTGCCGATGTTGAAAGCCTGTCCTCAAAGTCCCCAGTAAACATCTTCAACTTCTGAAAAACAAACAGAAGAAAATCATGTTTATTAAAAACAAATGAATCTTCTTCCTGCTGCTCCTGTAAGGATCGCCACAGCGGATCATTAATCCGCACAGCGGCTGGGTCGGATCCCTGCGCGGGAATTGAACCCGGGCCACGGCGGCGAGAGAACGGGATCCTTGGCCGCTAGACCACCAGGGACAGCAGAATTACATCAAACTGAAACTGTATTCGATGGTTTGAATGTGTGCAAGGTTTCAAATTCAACTTTATAATAACCAAAAAATTCAGTTTCAATCCTAATAATGAGCAGCTTTTTTCATAACAACGAGAAACTTTTCCTAACAACGAGACGCAGCGACTGCCAACGACAATGAGACGCTGCAACACTACGAGTCCCAACGACGACGAGACGCTGCAACACTACGAGTCCCAACGACGACGAGACGCTGCGACCCCCAACGGAGACGACGACGAGACGCTGCGACCCCCAACGGAGACGATGACGGGACGCTGCGACCCCCAACGGAGACGACGACGGGACGCCGCGACCCCCAACGGAGACGACGAGACGCTGCGACCCCCAACGGAGACGACGGGACGCTGCGACCCCCAACGGAGACGACGACGAGACGCTGCGACTCCCAACAGCGACGACGGGACGCTGCGACTCCCAATGACTTGATGTTTTCGTAGCATTACGAATATTGCGGATCCAGACAAGAATAATATATTTTGTCTTTTGCAGCATATTCTAAAATTTCCACCAAGAATAAATTGATGGTTAATGTTATTTTGATAATGTTACTATTATTATTATTATTATTATTATTATTATTATTAAGGATATCCAGGTTAGGTAGCTAGGTAAACAAGGCCTCTCGTGAAGCAGAAGCTACATTAGCTAGAGTGCTACTCAGCTGATGCACTATAGAGGGATTAACATCCATAGTTACCTTTTAAATTGTAGATTTCTGTCATTATCCGCCTTAATCCGGTCTTTTATTCTGTCCATATTTTTAAATATTATCCGGTCTTACTGATCGATTAACTCGCTGGTTATGTAACTGAATAATGAAGCTGATAAGCAGAGGCTCTTTATCGCTTTCCAGCTAAAACAGCAAACTGGATGAAACTGGTTTACTTCCGGCTGGAGTTCTCTCACGCGCCTTCAAAATTAAAGTCCGGGTGCAACACAAAAGGTGACGTAATTCATCATTAAATTACCTCAGTTATTCAACACGTTAACTTATTTAAATTATGATATTTATTTAATTCACGTTTTCATTTTTCACGTTCAAGACTATAAGATGTAAATTTTAGTTTGGTTTGGCTTACGCAAAACATTTACACACAACTTCACTGAAGGATCGATCAATTAGGCCCACTGTTTGTGTTACTCCACTTGTCTGTCTTCGTCACCTGAAAGTCCACTTCTAGCAATAATTTATTAAACTGAAACAGTTACTACGCTCTCAGTGGGCTGTCAGCGAGTCTGTGCGTTGGCATGGCAACACGCAAACACTCTACCCAGCTATGGCTTCTTTGGGAACTTTTATTTTCATCGACGGACCAAATACACACACACAAAATATTTGGACATATTGAGCCTCATTTATTAATCATTTTGTAAAGTTGTGTGTAAATGTTTGCGTAAGCCAAACCGAACTAAAATTTAACAGAAGTTTCAGAATTTTCTTCGTATCGTAATTGTGGTATTTCTTATGCTAATGAAATGTCTTCACATGGTAATATGAAATAATGCTCAGTAATACTTAATCAAGAAAACGCAAGCTCCTTATAGGATAGTCCTAGAACTGGTTATAGCTGGCGTTTGAACGTAACCTTATTGATTACGGTTAACTGAGCTCTAGTCCTTTACCTGGTACTTCGTAGGCATTCTCACGTGGGTTTATCTGAACTGTAAAATATGTCACTTTGGTTGTTGACTTTGTCAGTGAGAAAGCTTTTGGACTGTGTGTGTGTCATGAACATATCACTTAATGGGAAGAGCAAGTGATTGTGATTTTTATTCAAAAATCTCAGACAAGGATTCCTTTTTTTATTATATTTAATTTAAGAGAACATGAGTTTGCATGAGTTGATAGGTATCTTTCTTTTCGGTAAAGATGTGTATGATAGAATCCAGACGGCTCAGGAATACAACCACAGATGCCATTGTTGAGGTTCAGTACATCACACGGCTCCTGGTGGAAACAGTGGAGTGGATCCACTAACACCAACTGGTGTCCCTGGACGACTAGAGGAACATCACCCGGCTGTGTTCGCGGCAGCGTTTGTAGTTTGTTTCTTTGATTTTGTTTTTTTTTGTTGTTTTTTTGGTTTCATTCATACTTACCCATTTTTTGCTGCTTTTTTTTTTGTTCTGGTGTGTTTTTTTTTTTTATTTGTATGTTTTTCGTTTCACTCTTTTACCTGCTTTTCCGTTTCTTACCTGCTTAATTTTAGGGGTTTTTTTGTCTGCTGTTTTTTTTTGTTTTGATGTTTTTCTTATTTGTTTGTTTTTGTGTTTCATTCTTTTACCTACTTACCTGTTCCTTACCTGCTTAATTTTAATTTTTTTTTGTTGTCTGCTGTTTTTTTTTTTGTTTGTTTTGATGTGTTTTTCTTATTTGTTTGTTTTTGTGTTTCATTCTTTCACCTGCTTACCTGTTCCTTACCCACTTCATTTAATTTTTGTTCCCTGCTCCTTGGCTGACTGGGGACCCTGAAGCGATACACACAGGTGTATTCAGGGTGGATCCTCAGCTCCACCACCCCATACACCTCAATCAGAGAGTCCTGAAAAACACAGCCATCCACAACGTACTATACAGGAAGTTCCAAATGTCTGAGTCCTGAGATAAATCCAAGTTTGAACAGAAATCAGTCTAAATATCCTGTTTGTACACAATTTGCCTAATTAGTAATACA